GATGGTTAGGTGGTAAGCCACTGAGTTTAGGCAACTGCTTTTGTAATCTGGGCCTTTTGTTTTGAAAATTGTTTACTAAGAAAAACCTTTCCCATTTCCTAGCATTAAGCTCAGCAATTAGAATTATGGCTAGTCCTCATTTCATAGAAACCAAATAATTGTAGCACATGATTTGTTGATTTATTTCTTTGATCATTTCATCTCTATGGGGAAGAACAAATGTCATAGGCCTACAATGTTCATTAAATAATTCACCTGGTAGAGGATATTAGAATTTTCGGACCACTTGACAATTTCAGTGTCTTCATATTTGAAAACTATCTTCAACAATTGAAAAAAAAACTGTGCTTTACCTCTACTGCAGATTGTAAGAAGAATTTTTGAAGAGAGGTCACTATCAACAGGGAGTATATATTAGTCTGAAGATAAAATGCCTTTTACAGAAGACAATCATAATGAAGGTCCTTTGGTTGATGAGAGGACTGATCCCCAGTTCAAAACGTTCAGGTTCCCTATTTTAAGATATCTACATCGGAAAAAGATAATTAAGAACGGTTAAAGAACGGTCAAATTTGATTTGTGGAAAACATAGCAACCTCCAACAACGGTATTTTTTTTTCATAAGGAAACGTTTTTAACCAGAAAAAGTTTTTTTTCATAAGCCATGCAAATTTCATTTGATGTTGGTATTTTTAAAGTCTCTAATCTTAGTACTAGACCCATGTGGAGTGCTGTTGATGTAGCCTACAAAGCCCTCAACTTTCGCAGTCTAACACATCGCTATGTGACTGTTCTCTTACAACATTAATAATAAAATAATAGCGCAGTTTTATATTTTATCATCTGTAATAATTACAATTACTTTCAATTTAAATGTACTATGCAAGAAGTAATCATCAAAGTACTTTAAAAGAACAAATCAGCCACGCAAAAAGATGATCTACGACGCAGAGATTAAAATGGAACCATGTCATCTACGCTAATTAGAGAAGGTTATTATTTGTACTATACTAATTGCTTTAGTGATCTAATCTGTATATAAACCAAGATTCATTCATCAGCTGTGTGGTCAAATTATTATCAACACACTGGGAACAAGTAGAGAAGATTTCTTCTTTACTAGTACAAGTGGTCACGTTTTGGCATACTCTCGGTTTTTCCAGCCACCTAAAACAATACCTTTAGGTTTGTTTAGTTTGGTTTTTTTAGATTCCCCATGATGCCATAAACAAAGAAAAATTACCACAATCAACTTCTGATTTTTGGACAGATGTAGAGGGAGGTAAAAATAAAAGGAGAATAACTAAGCCTGCACGCATAGTAAGCAGCAGCAGCAGTAGCGACAGTGAAAAAGAAGAACAATTTTTGATCCGTTGAAAAACAAGTTGAAGGGAAAAAGTCCCCTCAAACACAAATATTCTCAGAGAATTAAGACAAATATTTACACACAACCACGCGATACCTCAACTATCCATAACTTCACTTCTGGCCATCTTATTAATAGTTCACCTCCACTTCAAAACACATCGTCGACAACATCATCACGGTACATAGGCTATATGACTCATATCGGCTGCTCACATCTCCTCCATAAAATCAATTTCTTAACCAACATCCAGGATCTTCACCGTCATCCCCTTCACAAAGCAGAAAATAATTATTTAAACAACCCCAGATTATGTCTTTTAGATCAACCAATCATTCTGCGTTGGCCAATTCCTAAAGTCAAACATATTGCTATTTTTTTTTTTTTTTTTTATGAACAATTAAATATTTAAGATGCAACTGCTTTTTAGTTATAAACTAATACTGTAGTCCAAATGATATAAGGAAGAAAATGTTGAAATTTGGCTATACTACATTCAGTCGCTTTAGAGATATATAACATTGAACGTTATAAAGTAATATGTACTTTTAAAAAATGTTCAGTTAAATCTTTATTATCACAGAATTTACAATAACACTTTAGTAGCCTACAAGTAGAGAGTAAATGTCTGTTCTGGAACTTGATTTTTGGAAAAACACTGTCTCTTCTGGAACCGAGCTTTTTGTTTCAAAAGGCGAGTGCTGGTTGAAGCTGGGAGGCAAGAGCTCCGCTGATGAGGTTTAAGTAGTGTAGCGTTGCAGAATTTTTTTACATTTATCCTAACTAGAGACTGCAACTATCCTACATACCAAATTTCAACTCTATATCTCAAATGGTTATGGAGATATTAATTGTAAGGTGAAGGTAAATAGTTAAGCCCAAGTCCTACATTTATGATTTTTTTTCAAATCCTTGCATGCGAGTCAACTGTATTTTATGTCCTTAACATATGTACAAAATTTCATATAAATCGGTTAGTAAATAACCAAACGCAAGGCAACTTTTAAAAATTCACATGATCGTGTGTAGTGTGCAAGCTTATCAACCATTCCGAATTTTGTTTGCACTAAAACAAACTAGAGGCTCTAACCGTCCTACATACCAAATTTCAACTCGATAGGTCAAATAATAACGTATATATTAAGCATTGGGCAAAGGTCAATAGTTAAGTCCAGCCTAAACACGTCCCAGAGGAATGAAAGTTATATCAGTATATGGCTCATATATGAAAACCTTCTTTTTGGAATTTCTTAAAAATTTTCTTATTTTTGCTCTATCTCTTACCGTTTCCAAGATATAAGCGATTAAAGAATTTATTGGTAAAAACAAAATTAAATTTAAGTATAAGTTTCAAAAAAGTTAAAGTTTCAAAAAATATTTAAGTTTCAAAATGATTCTAATTCTTAAATTGTGTTTTACTCACCAAGTTAGTGAAAGGAGGTGCTCACTGAAGCTAACACAAAACCACAACTTGATTGAATAGAGACAACAAGTAATGTACCCAATCTATCACAATTTCGGCTGACGCAAATGAGTGATAATCACGAGCATGTTGTAAAGGACGCACGTGGTGTTTACAGTCCACTGTGCAATAAAATTTTCCACGGAAGTACAGAAGTTCGCAAATGTGCTAATGAGTGATTGGTAATCAAACATGGTGACCTGGAGGTCAGCGCGCCGCTGATAGCTAAAGATTGCTACAGCATTCTGTTGCCCTGATACCCAAAACAGTAAAAACATCTGTTAACTTCGATATATCGATATTTAGTTCGATTTGATATATCGATATTAATTTCGAAAATCGATTTATACAGTTCGATATTATTGTAACTATATTCCTACTACATTCTGCCAGCCGGATAACTGTTTCAGAATTTTTCTAAATCTTTTCTTCAATATTTTTGTTTTAAAAATTAGTTAATTTGTTTGAGTTTTGTTTCAAATGTTTCCTACTATATCATAGTACCTTAATACTTTTTCCAAATTATTTTTGTTTATTTTCTGCGTATTTAACTATATTACTTCAGTGACTATGTTGATACAACTTGTACTCTGCCCACATCAGCTTTTCTGATGCAACTTGTACTCTGCTCACATCAGCCTTTTGCTGATGTAATTTGTACTCTGATCACATAAGCAATCATTTAGTGACGCACGAGTGTTACTATAAATAATGGCTAAAACGATGGAGCATTCAGCTTGAACACTCAGTTGCTCCAGTTCGTCAACCCTCACTACGCCTTCAAGCTCCAAACCATGTAAGTTTATTAAGACTTATTGTTAAACTAAAATACTTAACATATTTTTAACTTAAAACTTTAATGTTGGTTTAATTATTTTATAACTTAAAGTCAAAATAACATTTGAAAAGTTGGTTAATTTTTAATCAAACTTTTTTAATTTTATTCTGTAAGAATAACTTAACTTGCCAAGTGTTTACTAGTTGTTTGATATTAATTATTGTTTGATTGCTTATTGAAAAATAATTCTTAAACTAACTTTGCAAAAGCACAATATTGGTTTGTTAGGTTAGCTAAGTTGTTTACTAAACGTTTTAGTGTAGGATAGTTTTGTACTGAAAATTCTTTTAAATTATTAAATGAATATTTCTAAATGCTAATATGTGTTTTTACTATGGAATAACATTTGTTTCATTATTTTTGTAACTTAGTAAACACAGAGTTTAAATATGTGAAACATGATTAGCTTCTTTATTTTCTTAGTTAGTAATAAACTTATATTTTTAAATGCAAAGTAATAGTGATCTAATAATATTGGTTGATTCCAGTTTGAACATCTTGCTGCTTAGTTCCGGCTTAGTACACCATCTACCATCCTACACCATCTTGTTGCTCAGCGCTACTCCACTACGTCCATACGCTCTACACCGTAAAACTTTAAGTAAGTTTGTAATGTTCAAGTAATTATTTTTACGTAAACTTAATTTTTGTTTGTTAACTATTCCATTATGTTTCTGTTTTTTAGCACACACATTTTAACACTTATATTAATTTAATATCAAAACTATAATGCCATTAAAATTATATGCTTATTGGATTTTAACACACATATTAATGTTTTTATTTAACTTGTATATTGTGTTATAACTGTAACCCTGATAAAATACAATAGTTACTAGCTTTAGTTTTACAATTGACTACCATGTAACATAACTAGGCCAAAATATCTTAATAACAATAATTTTTGTATCTCACCATCCCTGCAACATAAATATCTATTTTATTTTTGCTGCATTTCAAATTCAATACTTGAGCTTAATTAATTTTACGCTTAATAAAGGTTTGAACCATCTCAGTTGGTTTGAATATAAACTAAACTATTATATATTACTGATTACAGCTTACTAATTTACTGTTATGGTTTCAGGAATCTGCGTGTGTAAATTTGCTCAACCTCCGACCTTCGCTCAACCTCCAGCCTTCGCTCAACCTCCGGCCTTCGCTCAACCTCCAGCCTTACTCTTTAACCACTTTCATCTCCCAGACTTCTAAACTCTCAATTAATCAGGTATGTGCATAGTTAAATTATTAAAAATTCAGTTTAAAATACCATAAACTATTAATAGGTTTAAACATGCCAACGTTTACAATTGTATCTTATTCTTAATTTCAGAATGAATTCAATTGGGTTTCTAAAGCTGTCCGAGCTCGCTTTCATCCCGTATAGACACACAAACAAAGCAGCAGGCTTAGACCTAAGATCACCAATTAGGGTTACTATTCCTGCAAATGGGAGAGCTTGTGTGTTGTTAGATCTAGCAGTTACACTCCCTGCCAATTGTTATGGCAGAATTGCACCGAGATCTGGTCTCGCGTTAAAAGAATGTATTGATGTGGCAGGCGGAGTGATTGATGCGGATTTCGCTGGTAACATAGGGGTTATACTGTGCAATCATTCAGATGAGGATTATATGGTAGAAAGGGGAGACAGAATCGCGCAATTAATTTGCGAAAAGATTTGCTATCCGCAGGTGTATGAACTAGTTTGTATAGATGAAACAGAAAGGGGTGCAGGAGGTTTTGGTTCTACTGGACGATAGATTGCAATCTGTAATGTAGCAGAAGTCTAGGATGGGAAATTTAATTTTTATTTAACAATACATTTTATTAACAGTTTAATATTATTACTATATTACTTGTGTAATAATAATAACATTAGTAATTTTACTTATTTACAGTAATGGCTCCAACACGGCCAAAACAAGAAGGCATAGCTTCAAAATATCAAATTAAAATATTGCAGATATTTAAAAAATATAAGAAAAAGTTTCATAAGCTAATTGTAAAATAAGATTTCTGGATAGACAGGTTTCTTGTGTTAGTAATTCAATAGATTTTTAGTGGGTTAGTTGTGAGAATGTAAACTACATTTAACTTTAAAACCCAAAGCTCAAAATCAAATATTACTGTTTCATGAAATGCTATTGCAAGTTTAAAAATTGTAACATTTTTTTTACATATTTGCAGTCATGAATTCTCAGACACCATCTAAACAGTCAGTTGAAGAGGGCGTTGTAAAATCTGCAGTGGGCATGATCAGTTTACTACAAATAGTACAAAATCTAATTACTCTTGGATTAAATTCAGTAGAACGATGGCTGAATATAATTCCAAAATTAAGAGACTCTGAACGATTCTATTCTCATCCCGAACTTGCGAATCTCCAATTGCTGCTAACTCAAATATCTCAACATTTACATTCAAAACTATTTGAATTTTTCCCTAATGATCTATCACAAGAAAAACTCCCAAGACTCTTGGCTAAGGAAATCTCATCTAAAGATCTAATTAAATGCGTCAAACCTTTGCTAAAGAAAAAAAATTTCAGTGATAGGTTCTTCTCAATTGAAACCAGCAATTTTTTGAGTAGTACAGTGGAAGATGCTTTGGCTGTTTTTAATTGTGGTTTACCAGAGCCTGAGGTTAGCTTGATTGAAGATGATGATAATGATAAACCTTCAGTTCCAAAAAGAACCCATGAGCCCAGTGTTAAGGTTTCCCTTAAGAGGAAAAGAAATCGTTCACCATCTCCATCTGAGTCATCTGAAGCATCATCGGGTGATGAACATTCCGAGGCTTCTGATTCTGGATCCGAATCAGATAACTCAGACAAGTTTGATAGGTTGTTTGTTGTAAAGTCCACAAAAAAATCCTCTAACATTAGACAAACATTTCAAACTCAAAAGAAAAGATTGAGGAAGAAACTTATTACACCCGGTGAGGAGGGTCGTTACATGATTAAAATAGAGCTAACCGACACTAAAGATCTTAAGAAATGTCCAACAAGCAAGTTTTGGACTAAAGTATCAACTAAAGCTGTTTTTTTGACAGAGCCAAAAACTCACATTTTCAAAAAGATTAGGAATGTTTTGTATGATGTAGGAAGAGCAATAAAAGAAACGCCTGGAGTAGAGTGTGAGGAGGTTAAGCTGGATAGGAAAACTAATTAACAAGCAATTGTTTGTAGGCGTAGTACGTTATTAGATAGTTAGCTTATTACAAATAACTTATAAATAGTGGTGTTAGTTACACAATTGTAGAGGAGAAACCATTCTAAATAGTTTTGTTAATCCACAGGATGGAGGTAAGCTCGGAAGGGGAAATGGAAACGGACGATGAAAGTGTTGCTCGAACACATTCTAGATTTTACCGGTCGTGTTCTGGACCATTTAATGAATTTGTTGAATTAAGAAATGCATTCAGCGGGAACTTGAAAACATTTTATCTTAAAAACGGTGATGAGGAAAATAAGGACTTGTGTTTTTTGTTAATTTCTGTGGAATCAAAAATTAAAAGTATTATTCAAAACCTTTTAAGTGACTATGGGGCTTTAAAGTTCAATATAGTTAGTGAATGTACTTATATTAAACCAGTGACAGATGAAATTCAACTAAGAACATTTAAAACCAAAAACAAGGCTGTGCTGGAAAGCTCTTCAATAAACTCAATTTTGAGAAAAATGTTTAGTAAGCTGTGTTATGAAGAACATGAATACGAAGGGAAGGGATCAGGGTGGACGCTGTCAACTGTTGATGGATTGCTTCTGAGATTTAGCAGGTATAGACCATTGCGAGGAAGCACCTATATTCCTCTACCAAAGGAAATCGCATTAAAGAAAGCCGTCATCAATCCTAAGAACCATCGGGATATGAACTGTTTTGAATGGTCTCTCCTAGTAAAATACACAAATGATTGTAGAATAACTGCTAAAACTTTAGAACATAGACACAAATTCAACTTCACAGGAATTTCCTTTCCCACACCAATCAAACAAATAAGTAAATTTGAAAAACAAAATCCCGGAACCAGTGTTAACGTTTATGGTTTAAATCAACAGAACATAGTCTATCCTTTAAGAATAACCAATGAAGAAAAACCTAACCATTTTGACTTGCTTTTTATCTCAAAAAATGGTGTTAACCATTACTGTTATATTAAAGATTTGAGTAGATTAATAAGGAAACAATTAACTACCAACACTGGAAAATTGTCTATCTGTAAACGATGTTTTAAACATTACCAAGGTCCTAAGAGGAAAGTAAATCTAACTGCCCATTTAACTGACTGTTCCAAACAGACCCCAGCAAGAGTAGTAATGCCATCCAAACCATCAGTAAATAATCAATCTGACCCGTCAAACATTTTGAAGTTCAAAAATCATCACTATTTACTTAAACTGCCAATTGTTTGTTATGCTGATTTTGAATGTTTGTTATTAAAAACAAACAAAAAAGTTTCTGATAAGACCTATGTTAATAATGTTCATGAACCAATGAGCTTTGGGGTGTATGTTGCTTATGATGATTCTCTGCCTTCTTATATAGCTAACTATTTGCCTAAAGAACCATACATTTATCGAGGGTTAGATGCTCCAGCAAAATTTATGCATTACATGAAAACTCTGGCTAATTTAATTGGTGATTTAACCCAATTAAATGTCCCTATGTTGCCTTTAACAAATGATGAGAAACAACGGTTTAAAAATGCCTCAAACTGTGAACTGTGTGACTGTGAATTTACATTAATTAACTGTCCAGTTCGTGATCACTGCCACTTTAGTGGACGATTTAGGAATGTGCTGTGTTCACAATGTAATCTTAAGAGACAATCTCAGAAATTTTTACCAGTATTTATGCATGGAAGTTCTAACTATGACAACCATTTTGTAATAAGAGAATTAGGGTGTGATAATTACAGAGACGGTGTAATACCTAATTCAAAGGAAAAATATGTTACATTTTCCAAATATACTCAATCAGGCATTACTTTAAGATTTGTGGATACTTATCGTTTTATGGATCGATCATTAAGTAACTTGCCAAAAGAAAACTTTTCCCATACTAAAAAGTTTTTTCATGAATCTGATTTACCTCTGGTCACTCGTAAGGGAGTGTACCCATACCAGTATACGGATAGCTGGGAAAAACTAAATGACAAACAATTGCCAGACAAATCCTTCTTTTACAAGGGTTTGGGAGATCCAACGATGGTTGATCCAGAAAATGATTCGTACCCTTATCAACTAGAACCGATTGATGAAAATGAATATCAGCATGCAAAAACAGTCTGGTCACATTTTAAATGTAGGGACTTAGGAAGCTATAGTGATCTCTATCTTAAAGTAGATGTACTACTACTTTGTGATACATTTGAGAACTTTCGATCAATTTGTGTTGAAAATTATGGATTGGATTGTGCTCATTACTTTTCTTTGCCAGGTTTAACATTTGATGCTATGTTAAAATACACAAAAGTAGAATTAGAACTGTTTACAAACTATGATATGTATTTGTTTATTGAAAAAGGTGTAAGAGGTGGAATCACATCCTGCTCTAAAAGATATGCTCGTGCTAACAATAAATATATGAAAGAGTTTTATGATCCAAAAGTAGAAAGTTCTTATCTAATGTATTTTGATGCCAATAACCTCTATGGCCTAGCCATGAGTAAATCTATGCCACTAAATTCATTTGAATGGATGAACAAACAAGACATAGCATCTTTTAGAGTAGATGATATTCCTGATGACTCTTCTGTTGGTTTTGTTTTGGAAGTTGATGTTGAATATCCAATTTATCTCCATGATTCACACAATGACTTACCACTTTTTCCTGAAAATAAACCACCACCAAATTCTAAGCAAACCAAACTGTTAACTACTTTAGAAAATAAGGAAAGATACGTTACCCATTATTTAAACCTTAAACAGGCTATTCAACTAGGCTTGAAAGTAACAAAAGTCCATAGAGTCTTAAAATTCAATCAAAGCCCTTGGCTTAAACCCTACATAGATTGGAATACTGCAAAAAGAACATTAGCTAAAAACCCTTTTGAGGAAGACTTGTATAAAAAAATGAACAATGCAATGTTTGGTAAGAGTATTGAAAATATACGTAAAAGAATGTCTCTTGAACTGGTGACATCACAAAAACGTTTGGATAAATTAGTTTGTAAGCCTACATTTTTGAATAGAACTATTTACAGTGAATCCTTAGCTGCTGTCTCTTGTTCAAAAGAAAGTATTGTTTTTAATAAACCCATTTATATTGGGTTTACAGTGCTAGAGCTGAGTAAATTTCATATGTACGATTTTCACTACCAAATCATAAAACGGTTTTTTGGTTCAAATGTTAAACTCTTGTATTCTGACACAGATTCACTTTTTTATGAAATTATCACTAATGATATATATGTAGACATGAATAGCCCTGAACTAAAACAGTATTTTGATACTTCTAATTTTTGTAAGAATCATCCATGCTTTTCAGCTAGTAACAAGAAAGTGCTAGGTAAATTTAAGGATGAATGTTCTGGCAAAATAATTATTGAGTATGTAGGTTTGCGTCCAAAGCTTTACTGTTATGAAATATTTGAACAGGTTGTTAGGAAAAAAGCTAAAGGTGTTAACAAAAAGGTTGTGGAAAAAGCCATCAATTTTGATGATTTTAAAAAATGTTTGTTTAATAGGGACTTGAATATTTGTAAGAAACAAACTCTGTTTCGGTCAAAAGATCATAGAATTAGCACTATTACTATCAATAAAATTGCAATGAATGCAAATGATGACAAAAGACATATTCTAGATGATGGTATTAACACCTTAGCTTATGGACATTTTAAATTATGTCAGTGAAATATGTAAATAAACTTGTATATATGATATTAATTTGTGTTTTTAATTTCCTTTATTATAATGGTATAAGGTTAACATATAACAACATATTTTTAAAACAAGATTTATTTATATAATACACTATTTACATAACCTTTTTGACAGTTCCAGACAATGGAGAGTAATACACTAATCCATCACTTATAATCAAACAATATGCAGCAGTATTTGCAGGAACTGCTTTTGTAGTTTCAATTTCAAGACGTACATCAATTGTGCCACTTTTTAAAGTTTCAGATTGTTTAGAACAATCACATACAAATAATGGTGAACTCTCAATGAAGTCTTTTTTGCTTATACATGGTTGATCATCACTTCCTGCATAGAAAGAAGATTGAAACTTTGCATAGTACTCATATAACAAAGCTTTGTTTCCATTCAATGGATCATATGGGTAGTATATTCCATTTAAATAAAGCCTTATGTTATTTAAATCACAAAAATCAAAATGTGATGCATTTTTATTATTTTTTTCTTTACGTTCAGTTTGGAAACCTACAATAACATATCTAGGTTTCTCAATAACTGATAGTGTCTTAACAGTCCATGTTTGAGAAGTGGTTTGAGGTAGCACAGGGTACTCATGCATTTGCCACCTCCTAAAGGCAATTCTTAAAGGTTGATCTTTTTCCACTAGTTTTAGAAGTGATAGTTTAATTTCATCATCAATTTTCACATAAGGCATTTTCCAGATAAGTTTGGTTATTACAAATTTAACAGTTTGTAAAGATGCTGCAGCTTGCAATATTGCATTTTTGTCTGATGAAGATCTTAACAATACTAGTTCTTGTTTCACATTTAGCAAAATCTCTTTAAAATCTTCAGCAAAACCAAGCAACAGCTTGAGTGGTACACAAAATGAAAAGTTGGTTTTATCTTCAAGTACATCAATCTTAGGTAATGTCCAGCCAGCGTTCCCCATCCAGTGAACATCTCCAGGACGTGATGTAAGTATATTTTTCATTGTAGTAGTTATTCCAACATTTTTTACTCGATCTATTTCTGTTCCACATAGCTCATATTTTATTTCTTCGAATAGAAATGCGATTGCATTATTTATAAGATTAGTTGTAGTATCATCATTTCCATCCAAAGTTCCCTCAATTAAAATATAACTCTCACTTGGTAACGTATATACATCTTGCTGGTGAATTGGTATTCTTATTTCATCACTGTTTCCAAAAGTGTTTGATGAATAAGAATTGTGAGAATGGAATTGAAAGTCAATGACACTGTTGTCAAAGCTTGATTCAGAATTTATATTTAATATTCGATTCA